GTATGTATGTATGTATGTATGTATGTATGTATGTATGTATGTATGTATGTTAAAACCAAATCGTGATGAATGATACCAAACAGTCAAACATCTGATTAAAAGGGTTAACACTTTAATGTATCGTTAGTCTCACACGTCGGCGTTTAAATTAATATTTTCCGACACACAAACAGAAATCGCTGCAACAAACACGAAATGTGGTTTATTGCAAAAAAGAACTCTCTGCTAACCTGACCGAGCACCAATCATTTTACACAATGTTTTAATAAATTTTGAAGTATTGGGGTCCATGGGTCCAAGGACCTCGATACATATTGGCAAAAAATCTAAGGAAGGCAGGGCGTGTTCATATTTTTTAATTTTTTCGTCCGATGCCCTGATTGCAGCCAAACCACATTCTTTGCTGGTAATGTGAACGTAGCGCTCGGCCAAGGTACCAGGAACCGTAACATCCCAAGCTAAACATTTACCGGCTCTCCAGGGAGTAAGAGTACAACCGTCTGGTCGCTTGCCATCTTGCACTGAAATGCCAGATGGTTCCTTCAAAACAGGAATAGAAGCTTTAGAAAAAAGCCGGCAAATGTAATCATTCAAAGCTGAATGACGAAGTTGGCGGCCTCCACCTAAACGGCAAACCAAACCATGATGACCAAATTCGTCCGCCTCCGCGCCGCAACGACACAGATATTTATTTTGTATACTTAGGCCAAGTCTGAAACCAACGGAAAATCTAACAGACTCGTCATCGAGTCTGGTGCCTACGGAAGTGTTGGGCCACGACCTCAACCAACCACAACTAACATCACTAGTTGCAGCCAATAAGCGGGCGGAGGAAGAAGCACCGACACCAGAAGTTTATGAAAAGTCTTCTTATATTGCTCATCTAAAATTTGAGCTTGTGAAGGGCCTTCAGGTGTGGTCGGCAGTGGTGGGATGTCACAGCAACAACAAAATCGGCAAAGCAAGGCGGACTGGAGGTCAAGAGTGGCAGCGGCAGAAGATTTATAGACGATTGGTGCCAACAGAACCACACTGAGTAACCCCAGACCACCATACCGTACCGGCAGCTGAGCCTGGGACCAGCCACTGTCAGTCAAATGAACATTGCAAATGGCTGACAAGGCGGTACGCAAAACATCATCAAATCTGCCCAACAACGATCGGTTAATGTAGCTGTATGTACGAAGAAAATATATCATTTTGGGCAAACTGAGGGCGCTTCGGACAATAGTCAGGGCGTCGTAGACGAAAAGATGAGACACTCGGTCGAGGGCGAACTTAAGTTCTAAAAACTTTTTATCAAAAAATTTAATTTGGGGGTCGCCCTCGAACAAGGGTGTGCCCAAAAAACTTAAATTTGATTTTTGAACAATGGGTACGTCCGCCAACACTGGATGCAAATGTAGTGAATCTTTAAATTAGAGTTCACATTTATTGGTGTTTAACTCTAGCCCAATGGTGTTGGCTTCGTTTTTCAAAAATTCGTAGTTTTCGGCCAGTGTTTGGCTTTTTGAAGCAATGCTGATGTCGTCCAGGTAGCCACAAATGAAAACGGACGACAGTTTTTTCAACAAGGGATGCAGAGTCAATGCAAATAGAAGAGGTCCCAGTGGATCACTCTGTTGCACGCCCTCGGACGATTTAACCACCCAGGTGTGATAGCCAAGCGAAGAAGCGAGGCCGTAAGCAGAATGACAGAAATTATATATTCTGGGGCAGAAACATTTGACGGCCTCCAGCATTGAATCTCTTCTCATGGCGTTGAAGGCATTTTTAAAACCGATTTTTAGAAATCCCCATTGATTAGGGAGGTCTGTGACCAATTTTCGAACGGCGTGAACGGCGGCCTCAGCACCTCCTTTCACGCCAACGCCCAATTGAACCGGGTAAAATTTGGCCCTCACTTCATCCATTACCAGGTTCAAAGCACATTTGCTCGCCAATCTACGCCAACAGTTACCAACAGCGATTGGCCTAACTCCTCCATCTTTTTTGTTCAAGGCTATCAGGCGGCCTCCAAAAAAAAACGGCAAACCTTGGGTGGACAAGCGCCCGACAACCAAATTTATAAATTTCGTTAGGGAAATTAATAGGTCGTCAATTGGCAGGAGGCCGGAAAGTAGATCTTTGAGATGCTGAAGACGCAAACCGTCGAGACCTCCGGACGAGCCATTTACAAAAGACTTTATGGCCTTGAGCACCTGGGTGGAAAAAACGCGCAGGAAAAGCACGCCTGTCAATTGGTGTTTTTGGATGTATGAACCGTAGTTTTTCTATGGTTTCAGGAGTGTTTTCTGCCAGGCCCTCGGGCGAGCAGACAAGTCTGACGGCTGCTGAAACGTTTCCCTGCTCTATGCAAGAAGACACCGCATTTATCCACCGGTCAGGGTTGTGGCCGCGTGGATTTGCGTTGATGTGGTTTTCAAAACCCGAGAGCAGGGACGTAACCTCAATCGTGGAGTATTCGGACAGGCGCTTGTTAATCTGGTTGCCTTGGTTGACCCGGCGTCCCCCTCTGGCAGGTTTTTGAAGGACGTATGGAAAAAACAAAAAAAGTCTGCACCAGTGAGCGGGATCACCGGAGTCACAACAAACGGCCGTCAGTAACTCGTGCAGTGCATTGCTACATTTTTCTCTACACGGTTTTGGAATGTGATCGTGCAGTGGTACGCGTTTCAAAACAGCCGTCATCCTGTCAAAAAAAGGGGGTTAGGAATCTCCGAAACTGATACGACGCACCCGTTATGAGTCTATCGCTAGATGCGGCTACGTGAGGCGGACCGGTCACAACCTGTGGTGCATCCACCTTTTTCCTCGAACCCGAGCATTCCTGGCCTTTAACCCTTCCACCATGACGGCAAAGTTTCCCGTCTGGTGTGATCTTTTAGTGGTTGGAGCAAACAGGGCACTGGTGTAAAACCGGGGCCATACAGGTGATTTGGTGAGATAAGTAATTTTAACAAAACAAAAATTTAAATGAACTAAGTACGTTTAAAATTTGAAATACGAAATTATAATAAAATTCTAAGGTAATGGAAAAAATAAAGGTAAGTTATGAATAATAATATAGCAGCGCACAGTTGAGGCAGGTACGAAACAAGCAACAGCTGTGCGCTATGAATTAACCATGCCAATTAAAAAATTAAAAGTTGAAAAATCTAATTAAATCAACAAAAAATCAAGGCAAACTGCGACAAAATGACGTGAAAGACTCAATCCCAGGATGATAACACGCAAAATAATCCAAAAGTTCAATAAAACAAAAGTTTAAAAACATATTAAAATATAAAATTTAAATTGAATTCAGAAATCGGCCGGCGCAAGTGTGAGCTAACGATGTATGTATTTATGTATGTATGTATGTATGTATGTATGTATGTATGTATGTATGTATGTATGTATGTATGTATGTATGTATGTATGCACGTAGGTATGTATATATGTATGTTTGTTTGTTTGTATGTATGTATGTAAAAAAATTTGTATGAAAAAATTAATTACATAGTTTTTATAACACCAATGAATTCCATTCTAAGTTAATGCTCTTATACTCATTTTACGTTCACATCTTTTTGATGTACGAGTGTGTGTGTTTATGTGTGTTTGCATGTGTGGGTTTTGTTGTTGTTTTTGTTAAAGTTGTGTTCTTGATAAGAACTTGGCTTTTTTTTTTGTTTTTATGGGCTGTTGCTGAGATAAACATGCAGAATGTTTTGTTAAATAATCTGGTTTTGCTTCAAGAAACTCTTAATCGTATCTTTCTCTCTGTTTTCTCTTTCCCTTTCTTCCTCTCTTTCTTTCTCTCTTTCTTTCTCTCTTTCTTTCTCTCTCTCTTTTATTCTTTCTCTTTCTTTCTCTCTCTTTCTCTCTCTCTTTCTCTCACTTTTTGCATTCTTTTTTCCTGTTCCCTATTTTTTCAAATTTTTAAGAGATTTCACCTGCGTTCGTACTGGAAATCTATCCATCAATCAGTTTATTCATCCATTCATTCATCCATTTATTTATCAATCAATCAATCATTCCATCTATCTATCTGTTCAGCCGTCCGTCCACCAATCAGGCATAGATCCTCGTTACCTTGAAGGATGAATAGGTGTTTCGTTTCAAAAATAAATTGGACAAGTTTTTAATTTATAGGACGTTTTTTTCATTTTAATCGATTTTAAATTGCGAAAATCTGTCGTCTTCTCATGGAGACACCTCTTTGGATTGCCCGTTTGTCTGTTCGTTCGTTCGTTCGTCCGTTCGTTCGTTCGTTCTTTTCGTTCATTCATTTGTGTTCGTTTCTTCGTTTATTCGATGGCTCATTTTTGTGTGTCCATTCTTTTGTTTCTCATACGTTTATTTCGTTGTTCATTTATTTATTCTTTTATTCATTCATTTATTCATTCATTTATTCACTGATTCATTTATTCATTCATCCACTCATTCATTCATTTGGTCTATCAATTGATAGATTATTCTGTCTTTCCACCAATCCATTCTCTCATTCCATCTATTGGAATATCTGACAGATTTGTAAGTATAACACCACGTACACACGTACACACACATACAAGTGTGTGTGTGCGTGTGTGCGTGCCTGTGTGTGTGCGTGTATTCGTGTATATATGTGTGTATTTCTATGCATGTATGCGTGTTTAAATGTTTGCAAATGGTGTTTGCGTTATAAAATCAAAGGTTAACTAATGTGAAAGTCAAAATTTGTGACCTCATCTGATACAGAGGTCAATTATTATAATTACGATAATGATGGTAATGATGACGATGCTGATGATGATGATGACGATGAAGATGATAATGATGTCGATGTTGATGACTATGATAATGATGATGACGGTGATGATGACGATGACATTAATGATGGCGATGACAACAACTTTCACACATATTTTTATTATATTTATTTAGCTATGCGTGTGTGTGTGTGTATGTTTGTGTTTAGATGTATGTGTGCGTGCGCACGTAAGTATGTGTGTGCGTTGTGTATGTGACAATAAAAGAGATAATTATTAAGATATTCTAGAAAACTTGAAGTTTGGAAATAAAAATCAACTTTACTGTGCGTGTTTATTTTTAGTAACGCAAATATTATATTTATTTCTTCGTTCGTTCGTTCGTTCGTTTGTTCGTTCATTCATTCATTCATTCATTTTGTTATTGCTGATTTTATCATTAATGAAATTATATACACAAATTATATAATGTAGAACGATCAAGTTATTTATCTGGAAATAACTGGTTTAATTTGAAAGTATGTATGTTGTGTGTATGTATGTATGTATGTATGCATGCATGCATGTATGTGTGTATGTATGTATGTATGTATGCATGCATGTATGTGTATGTATGTATGTCAAAACCAAATCAGCGATGAGTGACACTAAACAGTCAAACATCTGAATAAAACCGGTTAACAATTGATATCTCGTTATTCGCTCACGTCTGCGTTTAATTGAACATTTTCGGTAACACAGACGCGCAAGAACCTTTGCAGCAAACAAGAGATATGATTCATGGCGAAAAATAGCTAGCTCTCTGCTGTCGCTGGACTGAACATTTATCATTTTGCAAATATTTAAAAAAAATTTGGAAGTTTTGTTGTCCATCGGGCCAAGAACCTCGATGCAAACAGGTAAAAAAATCCATCGAGGGCAGGGCACCTTCATATTTTTTAATCTTTTCATCCGATGCCCTGGTTGTGGCCAGACCACTTTCCTTGCTGTGTGTATGTATGTGTGTGTGTGTGTGTGTGTGTGTGTGTGTGTGTGTGTGTGTGTGTGTGTGTGTGTATGTATGTATGTATGTACACACAAATACATATATGTACACACAAATACATATACACACACACGAATGCACACATACACACACACAATAATTATAATAGTTTTTCTAAAAGTATTTTTTATCCAAATACACAAAATTTTTGTATTTCCATACCATATAAGCATTGGCAAATACACAGTTTGTTTGTATATACCGTTTATGAACTTTTAGGCTAGAGAACAAAACGTGCTAGGTACAACATACAAACTTTGAAAATTAAAGTTCATTGGAAGTGTTGTTGTTGTTGTTATTGTTGTTTTAGTTGTTGTAGTTGTTGTTGTTCGTGATTTTGTGGTTCTTATATGATCGATCTATTTTCCTAAGTTTTACTGCATTTTTAAGGTTTAAATGTATGTATTATCTTATGGGTGTAACAGTTAACGTAATTGATGTTTTTTAATGCTCTTTTTAATGTATATTCGTTGTACAGCTAGTGTAGTTAGTGTTGTGATGAAATTTTTAGGCTGATGTTGGCTGTGTTGTTGAAGGACGTATGATAAGAAATGAGAAAAATGTATGGGTTTTAAATGTGTAATGAAATTTGTATCAATAAATCAACTGAATTATATAAAAAAATTAATCAATCAATCAATCATTTATTCATTTATTCATTCACTTATTCATTTAATTAGTCTATCATTCCATCAATCAATCAATTAAGCTATCTATCATTTATCGATATTTTATTTTTTTTGAAAACTTCAGAAAACCAAAATAGTAAAATAAAACTAACTTTTAATATGTCCGCTTTGAAAACTAGTTATTATTATTTATATTATTACCATTACTTTTATTGTTTTTATTATTATTATTAAATATTACGAAATAATTAATGATAATTATTAAATATTTTCAAAAATTTTCAAAAAAAACCCAAAAGTGATATCTTTCTCTCCTTTAACATATTAAAAGTTGCCCTTTACTTAACTTCTATTTATACGCACTCTGCTGTGTATGTGTTTGTGTGTGAAATATACATTAAATACAAAAATAACCATGTATAACAATATATTATACATTATTCCTCATTCATAATATTGGGATAATATGATCACTTTTGATTTATATACATACATATATGTAGGTATGTGTGTTTGTCTGTGTTTGTTTGTTTGTTCGTGTGTGTATGTGTGTGTGTTTGTGTCGTGTGATGTTGTTTATTGTATAGTTACAAGAAAAATAATGATAGAGAAGTTATATAGGATGATTAATGACAGTTATTAACAAATTCTAAGTTATAATTTGATATCATCAACTAAGCTGTTTGTGTGCCTATATGTGAGTGTACGTGAGTGTGTGTGTGTATGTGTGTGTGTGTGTACGTGAGTGTGTGTGTGTATTGATTTAATGAAACATCTCTATATGCTTTTACGCTACAGACCAATCAGGCTTTTATTGTTTGTTCATTTGTTCGTGTTTGCTCATTTGTTCCGTCTTTCAATCATTCATTCATTTACTTGTTGTTTCATTTATTCATTAATTCATTCATTCATTTGTTAATTCATTCATTCATTAGTTTATTCATTCATTCATTAGTTCATTCATTTAATCATCCATCCAAGCATTGAAATTAATTAGCTCAAATATTAGCTGACAAACTCGAGATATACAAATGAACAAACATACAAACAAACATATACAAACAAACATATACAAATATAAACAATTTGCACACTCATATACAAACAAGCATACAAATACACATCCAAACATTCATACATACTTATATACAAATGTAGGCAGATATAATTAGTTTTTGTGGAATAAACCAGTTTTTTTATTTGGTGTGGTGTGTTGTGTATGTTTGTATGTATGTGTGTTTATCAGTAAGTTTGCTTGTATGTATGTTTGTTTGTATATGAAAATGTCTTTGTATGTAAGTATGTAAGTATACAAACAAGCATACACATACACATTCATACATTCATACATACTTATATACAAATGTAGGTAGATATAATTAGTTTTTGTGGAATAAACCAGTTTTTTTATTTGGTGTGGTGTGTTGTGTATGTTTGTATGTATGTGCGTTTATCAGTAAGTTTGCTTGTATGTATGTTTGTTTGTATATGAAAATGTCTATGTATGTAAGTGTGTGTGTGTTTTTTTGTATGTATGGGTGACTGTATGTTTGTATATTAAAACATTTGAATGTTAATTTAAAATTTAATTTGAATAAATTTAATGGTTGGTTGGCTGGGTCACCTGACTTGTTGGTTGGATGGTTTGTTGGTGTTGTTGGTTGGTTGGTTAAGTTGATTGATTGGTTGGTTGATTTGTTTGATTGATAGGTTGATTGGTTGGTTGGTTGGCTGGCTGGCTGGTTGGCTGGCTGGCTGGTTCCGCATATTCAAATTCAAATGAGTAACATTACGATGATGACGACGACAACGATGTTGATTATGATGAAGATTATTATGACAATTAAGATGACGACTATTAAGATGATGATGGTGATGACGACAATGACGTCAATTGTTTTCATTAGTTACTAATGACAACGAACCAGCTAAGTTAGATACAATGTTTTTGTTGTTGGTGATGTTGTTGTTGATTTTGTTGATGTTGTTGTTGTTGTGGTTGAAAGGGATTGCATCGTTCTGTTTGTGTCTTTCGATTGGTAGGTTTCATGTTTATAACCCAATGTCGATAAGGGGGACGATGATGACGATGATGATAACAATAATAGTAATAATAAACGACGACGATGATGATGATGATAACGATAATGATGATGATGATGATGACGACGACGATGATGATGATGATTATGCTGTATCGTTTGATTGGAGCATAATTAAAATGAGATCATTTAACATAAAGCATTGTTGTCCATAGTTGGCTGGAACATATAATTTAAAATGATGATGATGACGACGATGATGATCATGACAATTTTGACGACGAATCTGTCAGTAAAATTTTTGCATGTAACACTACTATTAAAATACTTCACATAAAATTTTTTTTTTCATACATATATACATACATACACACATACATACATACATACAAACATGCAAACATACATACATACTTACATACTTGCGTGCGTGTATGTAAAAATTGATTAACTTTTTGATGTGTTATTTCTTCTGTAATTAATTACTGTTTTTTTGTATGTTTGTATGGTTGTTTGTTTGCATGTTTTTTGTATGTATGTTTGTATGTTTGTTTGTATGTATGTATATTTGTATGTATGTAAGTTTGAATGTATGCGTGTATGTGGGTGAATAAATATTTATCCGGAGTTATGTAAACTGTGTAAATGTATCATGTTTGCAGAATTAATTACGGAAAAGCCATGTACGCTTACTCTCTCTCTCTCTCTCTCTCTCTCTCTCTCTCTCTCTCTCTCTCTCTCTCTCTCTCTCTCTCTCTCTCTCTCTCTCTCTCTCTGTCTCTGTCTGCCTCTCTAATTCTCTCTCTCTCTCTCACTCTCTCTCTCTTTCATTTCTTTCAACTTTCTCCTTCTCTTTCTCTCTTTCTTTCTCTTTCTCTTTCTTTCTCCTTCTCTTTCTTTTTATCTTTCATTCATTTTTTACACATCTTTCTATCCATCTACATATTTTTCATTTTCATACATTCTTTCCATCCCAGTCTAAATAAGTTGTATCTATTTCATCCGTCCAAATTCTATTCTCGTTCTTTCTCTCTCTCTTTCTTTCTCTCTCTCTCTCTCTCTCTCTCTCTCTCTCTCTCTCTCTCTCTCTCTATTATGTCTCCGTCAGCAACACACACCTTTGATAACAAGAGTTATTAAACACCACGCATATTAAATCGGATCCTCTGAGATGAAAGGTATTTTTATTATTATTATTATTTATGTTATTATTAATATTATGTTATTATTAATATTATGTTATTATAATTATTATTATTAGTAGTAATATGTTATTGTTGTTTAACGTTTTTAGTTAATTACATTGGCCTGTGGTGTGCAGGTATGACGCTGATTGGAGAAATTTTCATTTGACAGGCGTCAATATCGTTGATTGGTTGGCTGGTTAGTTGGTTGATTGGTTGGTTGGATGGTTGGTTGGTTGGTTGGTTGGTTGGTTGGTTGAATTGTTGGCTGGTTGGTTGGCTAGTTGGCTGGCTGGTTAAATTATTGGTTTGTTGGCTGATTGGTTGGCTGGTTGGTTGGCCGATTGGTCTCTCAGTCTGTTGATTGGTCAGCCGGCTATTCTGGCTATATTGGTTGGCTGATTGTTGATTGATTGATTGAATGTGTTCTTGATTGATTGGTTGAAATATTTGGTTGATTAAACAGTTGGTTATTTGGCGTCCGAGTTTTTTTATCTGTAAAATGTTGTTAAAGGGATTACATTTTTTTAATTAATTTTTTTATTTTTCTCTGTTGTTTGTAATTAAAAAAACACACGCACACAAACTCAAACCCACATAGTAGTAGTTGGTTTAGTTGTTATAGTAGTAGTAGTAGCACTACTAGTAGTAGTTGTTGTAGTAGTAGCAGTAGTTGTAGTAGTATTAGTAGTACTAGTATTAGTAATAGTAGTTGTAGTCGTAGTAATAGTAGTATTGAAATATTGATTAAAGTATTCATTACATTACAAAGCATTATGATGCAAGAACTTGAAATTGAAAATGCTACATTGTTCTATGCTCTTGATGAGTAAACACGTTCCTATTGTCGTCCGCTAAGTGCAGATTTTGCCGATTTTCCGTCACTGTTTCACAATTTTCAGAAAAACTTTAGGTTTGATATATTTTTTTATTTTACAAATAAACTATAATTAATTAGATTTTTATTCAAATTAATTTTCAACTAATTTTTGTTGGAAAATAATTTTTTTTTTTGGAAAGCATGCAGCCAGAGATTCCAGAAAATATCAGTTTTCCTACCATCGAGGAGGAAGTGCTGGCCTTTTGGAAAAAAGTTAAAGCATTTGAGACGTCTTATGAACTGTCAAAGGGGCGGCCAAGGTTAATTCATTTTTGTTTCACCATTTATAAAATTTTTATTATGTTTTTTTTCTACTTTCTATCTATTTTGTCAATCAATAAATATATATGCATCTCTAGATATTTATATAAAAAGGTACACATTCTATGATGGACCACCATTCGCCACTGGTTTGCCCCATTATGGGCACATCCTCGCCGGTACGGTCAAGGACATTGTGACCAGGTGGGCCCATCAGAGTGGCTACCAAGTTGAGAGGAGGTTTGGGTGGGATTGCCATGGCTTGCCTGTTGTTAGTTATTTTTTTATTTGGCTGTTTATCTGTATTTATTTATTGTCTTTTTTATGTATTTTATTTAGTAAAATGATGACCTTTTTTTTAAATTTAAACCTCACTAATGCAAATGTAGTAAAAAAAAGATTGTAAAGAAATGCTGAAATCATCACAACCACTGAATTAGGAATATGAGATTGACAAACAGTTGGGGATAAAAAGTCCAAAAGATGTCCTTGACCTTGGAATCGACAAGTACAATGCTGAATGTAGAAAGATTGTCATGAGATATGCCTCTGAATGGGAGGTTTGTGGTGTGTGTGTTTGTGTGTGTGTATGTATGTGGTGTGGATTGGTGGGATAGGCTATGTATGGTTATGGATTTTTTGTTTACTAGGTACTCCTTTAAAGAGTGGAAAAATTTTTGATAAATTTTTGGTTATAACTTCTATGTGCATTGATTTTTTAACATTTTAAAACCAATTAACATTTCAAAAAAATATTTTTAAGAAAAAAGAAAAAAACATTGAAAACTAATCCTAATCTAATATTAAATTCTAAAATTAGGAAATAGTGACGCGTCTCGGACGATGGATAGACTTCAAAAATGACTACAAGACAATGTATCCGTGGTTCATGGAGTCGATTTGGTGGGTCTTCAAACAACTCTACGATAAGGGGCTGGTCTACAAGGGATTTAAGGTCAGTTGGGTTCAAGGTCGGTTGATTAATTGGTTGGCTGGATGATTGATTGGTTGATTGATTGATTGATTCAACATATAGGTGATGCCCTTTTCAACAGCCTGCAACACACCGCTGTCAAATTTTGAATCAGGACAAAATTACAAAGATGTTGATGACCCTTCAGGTCAGTGAGTGATGGTGATAATGAGGAGGAGGAGGAAGAAGATAATGGAGATGGTGATGAAAAGGAGAAGGGAGTTGATTTTTTTTTATTTTTGTACTGCTAAATTTTTCTTAGTTGTGGTTGGTTTTCCACTTTTGGATGACCCATCCGTTGAGTTTGTGGCGTGGACCACCACCCCGTGGACCCTGCCCAGTAACATGGCCCTCTGTGTCAACCCCGAACTAACTTACGTTAAGGTTAAAGGTCAGTTGAATATATCTCTCGGTAGTACATTTGGAGTGCGTGTGATTGATGAATCTTTGTCACGGGTGTAGCTTTTCTAATAAAGGATGATAATAATTTTTATTCATTTATCCTTTTGTTCATTCATTTATACATCTATTCATCCATTTATCCATCTATTTATCCATCTACTCATCCATCTATCTATCCATCCATTTATACATCTGTCCATTGCAAGACTTGAAACTTGCAAGAACATACATAATGATGGAGGATAGGTTGTGCCAACTTTTTCATAAACCTGAAGATTACGAGATAGTTGAGAGGTTTGTCAGATACTTACATACACATACACACACACACACACACAAACAGACACGCACATACATGCATGCATGCATACATACAACATAGATGCACACGCATACATATGTACATAAATTTTCACACATGTATATATAACTTATACAATCATGTACAAACATGTATAATCAAATTTTTTTCTTTAGATTCCCTGGAGCTAAGCTAGAAGGCATTGAATACACGCCATTGTTTGACTACTTTGTTGAAGTAAGTTTTTCAGCAAATCAATGCCTGTAAATCATTGTATAGCTGGGATCTTTCAGCATTCAAACCCAGACACTACAACACCACTGCCAGGCGTCTTAACCATTACACCATACGTAAATATATTTCACCATTGTCGTCATCTTAGATGAAGAAGAACGGAGCGTTCAAGGTACTCGTGGATGGTTACGTCTCAAACGAGAGCGGTACCGGCATTGTCCATCAGGCTCCATATTTCGGGGAGGTCTCTACCATCATCATCACCAACTTCGCTATCATCATCATCAGCTTCACTATCATCATCAACTGTGAAAGTGATAATGATATCGTCATCAGTATCAGCTTTATCATCATCATCATCACCTTTGTCGTTTGTTTTGATTTGTCATTCAATTGTTCCTATTATCATTATAATCGTTGTTGTGGTTATCACTATTATTGTCGTCATCATCATCATTTTCATCATCATTTTTATCATTGTCTTCATTATATCATCTTCATCGTCATCTTTTTCATTATCATCTTCTTCGTTATCATCATCTTCATCATCATCATCTTCATCATCATCATCTTTATCATCTTCATCATCATCGTCCTCACGACAGGATGATTACCGAATCAGTCTGCGCTACAACATCATCAACAAAGACATGAACCCCATCTGCCCTATTGACATGAGTGGCAGATTCGTCGAGCCTGTCTCGCATTTCATTGGTCAATACGTTAAGGTAGGGTGGAGCTTATTGAGATGACGATGATTTGAATTATCATAATTTATTTACATTGAATCATTGCTATTTATAACTTCAAATCTATAATAAAGATTGTAAGGCACTGAATAATGAGGATAAAGATTGTTTATAGTGATAAAAATACGCTTGGCTTCGCCGACGATGGTGAAGATGACGACGACGATGATGACGACGACGACGATGATGATGATTGTTACAGGAGGCAGACAAAAACATCATCAAACATTTGAAAGAACATCATCGACTCATCCAGTCGCAAACCCACAATCACAGCTACCCGTTCTGTTGGAGGTTGTGCTAGCGTCATTACCGTCGTCATAATTATATATATATATAATCCGATGACGCGTACGATGACGTCATTGTAGTAATAGATCATCACGTGACTAACAACAGGTCGGACACGCCGCTGATATATAGAGCCGTTCCCAGTTGGTTCGTCCGCGTCGAGGAGTTCAATGAGAAGTTGCTGCAGAGTAACAGTGCCTCTTACTGGTTGGTTTGTTTGTATGTTTGTTTTGTATGTTTGTTTGTATGTATGTTTGTATGTTTTTGTCGGCATGTTTGCTTTTTAGGCTTCTGTTTGCCATTCCCTCTTCATGGTTCGTCCATCTTCATTATAATCTTCGACAAAATTAGGGTGCCTGACTTCGTGAAGGAGAAAAGATTTGGAAACTGGTTGAGGGACGCCCGTGATTGGGCCATCTCGAGGAACAGGTACTGGGGCACGCCCATTCCTATCTGGATGAGTGACGATGGGGAGGAGGTGGTCGTCGTGGGCTCCATCAACGAGTTGAAGATGTACACTGGCAAGGCGGAAATCACTGATCTTCATAGAGAAAAGTTAGTGGCTCTGTGTCTGTGTGCTTGTTTGTATGTGTGTTGGTGTGTATTCGTAGTTGTGCATGAGTGTGTGTGTGTATGTGTGTGTGTGTGTGTGTGTGTGTGTGTGTGTGGTTTGTGGGAGCGTTTTAATGTGTTATTGCTCTTGATTGTTTCAAATCATTTTCAATTCTGTTACCGCCATCTTCAGCTTCGATCCTCACCAATTTCCATCCACATAAAAAAAACAGTATCGACCACCTGACCATTCCCTCGAAGCGACCAAACCAGCCACCACTGCATCGCGTCCCTGAAGTTTTCGACTGCTGGTTCGAAAGTGGTAGCATGCCGTATGCAGCCAGCCACTATCCGTTTGAGGGCAAGAAGGAATTTGATGAAAGTTTTCCGGGAGATTTTATTGCGGAGGGCATCGACCAGACCAGGGGCTGGTTCTACACCCTTCTCGTTCTTGGTACGGCCCTCTTCAGTAAGGCACCTTTTAAGAACCTCATCTGCCATGGACTTGTTTTAGCTGCGTTAGCGCTTGTTTTATTTTAAATGTTTATTTCATTTTTTTTTCGTTTTTGTTTGGCTGTATTTCTTTGTGTGTCTGTGTTAGTTTAAATTGAAAGTTATGTTGAACTCGATCGATTGATTGATATTTAGAGATGGTGAGAAGATGAGTAAGAGGAAGCAGAACTACCCTGATCCGATGCATGTGGTCGCCAACTACGGAGCTGATGCAATCAGGTGGATTGTCTGTCTGTCTAACTCTCTGTCTGATTGTATGTATGTCTGATTGTTTGTGTGTTTGTCCGGTCCGTCTGCCACGTCTGTCGGTTTGCTTATCTGACCCTGTCTCTTTTTTTTCATTATTTGTATGCATGAGCATCATCACTGACGAACAGGTTGTATCTGATCAACTCGCCGGTCGTTCGAGCAGACAACCTGCGATTCAAGGAGGCTGGGGTCAGGGATGTCCTCAAAGACGTCTTCTTACCGTGGTACAATGCTTTCAAGTTCCTGCTGCAAAACATTGAAAGACTACAGCGGGTCTGTTGTTGTTTTGGGTTTTTTTTAAAGTGGGGCTTGAATTTGTATGAATGAATGAATGAAAGAAAGAAAGAATGAATGAATGAATGAGTGGAGGATTGATTGGTTGGTTGACTGTACAAATGATTGACAGGAGGAGGGCGTGGTGTTTGAGTACCACCACAGTGACGATATAGAGCAGGAGAACTACATGGATAGGTGGATTATGTCCTTCACGCAGAGCCTCATCAAGTTCGTCCACCAGGAGATGAAGGGTTGGTTCGTATGTCTCTGCTTATGTTTTTATATGTTCGCATTTGTTTGCTTGTTTGTTTGTTTGCTTGTTTGTTTGCACTTTTGATAGTCTACAATTTGTGGTTTGTCTGATTTGTGTAAACCAGCAGTATGTTTCAATCCGTACGCAACTACACTGCACACACTCACAAACACACACACACGCACGCAAGCACAATTAGCAAGAGGGCACAAATACAAATACCAGCCTACAGATTGTACACGGTAGTACCACGCCTCTTGAAGTTTATCGATCAGCTGACCAACTGGTATGTACGCATGAATAGGAGGAGATTGAGGGGGGAGGGTACAGGTACTGCCACAGGGGGGTCCACATCTTCCGTGGATGATTGCAGGCAGGCTCTATTTACACTCTTCTCCGTTATATTCTCAATGATGAAAGTCATGGTTGGTGGGCTGTTCATTAGCATGTTGATTTTAACATGCACATAATTAATATTTACATAATTAATTTGTCTCATTAATATGCGCATAATTAACACCTAGGCCCCATTTGTGCCATTTCTCACTGAGTATATGTTCCAGAGGTTGAAGCAGTACATTGTATTTGATGGGGAGGTGAAAAATTCTGATAGCATACATTACCTTATGCTGCCAATTGCTAGGTTGGTTGATACGTTGGCTGGCAGATCGGTCGGTTGGTTAGCTGTTTGGTCGGATAGTTGGTTGATTGATTGATTGATTGATTGATTGATTGATTGATTGATTGATTGATTGATTGATTGATTGATTGATTGATTGGCTGATCAGTTAGCTGATTGATTGTAAAATCATGATATTAATATCATTTTTGTTCAGAATTGATAGTGTAATCTTAGTTGTTAGAGGTGCAGTTATTGTAATTGTAGGACGCAGTTGATTGATGTGTCCATAGAGGCAGCTGTGTTAAGGATGCAAGCAGTCATCGACCTTGGAAGGGTCATCAGAGAGAGGAATGTCATGCCCATTAAGGTCAGTCAGTTTGTCGGTTGGTTGAGCTTCTGTGGTTGGTTGGTTTTACTTGTTTCT